AGAGGAGAGTTCATCTTTGCTGTTGAGTGACATATGGAGAGACGCTAAAGCTGGGATACAGCAGAATGAGTTGGCCGCTAGCAACAGAAAGCATGGGGCTCGGCCTGGTGTGATGGGCCTAAGGCATGCATGTGCAGTGTGGGAAGCGAGGGAAGGTTGCCAGAATTGTAGAAAGGCCAGGTGTATTAAATAAGTTTGCTTATACCAGCCTCCCTGCTCTCCCTGTAATATCACAACGCACAGAATTTGGGGAAAAAAATGGACTCAGCGTTTTCCAAGCAGAAGTTTAAAGGAACAGCAACATCAATTTGGTTACAATCAGTTCCCGACTTTAAATATGCAAGACACTAGAGATAGACAGATGGCTTAGTATGCCGTGCTAAGAACACAGCTGTAATAATCCAATTGTCTGCTCCTGGTGGATTAGCTTCCTAAATCATAGTTCTAAGTGACATGAGGCTGAGGGGAATGAACAGGAAGAGCTGGCTCAAAAAGAACAAACTCCCACTTAGAAAAGAGGAGTTTTTATTCTTGGATCTACTCCACACAAAATAAGTACATACATGAGCGTATGAATACTGTAATAAGCCTGAAGCAATCAGTCCAGTCTGCACACATATATAAAACATATTGTTTACTCATAAATATCTACAATTATTACTTCTAATTTGAAAAAGGAATATTCTCCCTATTGTATGACCTCTATAGAGTCCTGGAGCTCATTTTCAAACTCAAAAAATGCTTATACATGAGTTCTTTCCCAGTTAGTGCTTTGTGGTAATATTTCAACAAATATGCAGAGGGGGAAAATAGCTGTCTGAGCCACTGCGCAAGGATCACTGAAGTATCTGAGGATACAAGCACTGTGAGCAGGAAGAGAAGGAAGACCATGGATACTGATGGGCATGCAATTGCCAAGAACTTCAGCTTGGTCCACACCTGTCACTGCGACTCGTCCCTCTGAATGGCCTCTGCAGATGGACACATGGCTGGAACCTCTCGGTCCCAGGTCAGCACTGAATGTCCTAGGCCTCAGTTAACTTTTATGTCTGTGTTCTCTCTTCACAAGTCACTCTTGTCCCATCCATACTTCATCTCATATCTACCTCCTAGCTAATGAAAATGTTCAACTGTCTCTATCTATTATGCAGTATGGATGGGGGTTTTAAATATGTACTGGCTTGAGGTATGCTGCTTGCATTCATTTCACAACTTTTGTTTGCCCCAGCTGTTTACCTTTTGCATGTTTTTGCTTTTGTTTCAGTTGGAGGTGATATCTAACTTGTTCAGTCAACTCTAACAAGATATCTTGTGCCTGGTAATTTACAAACAAGACAAATTCATTACACACAGTTATGAAGGCTTGGAAGATTAAGACAAAGGTACCAAGAGATTCACTGTCTAGTGAGGGCCTGTTTCTCATAAGCGCTCATGCTATGTGACCTGAGATGGTACAAGGGTCAAACAGCCTCCCTCCTCAAGGTTTTCAGCTCTGGTTTTGATCTTAAATATTCTCTAAGGACATGTGCTAAAGGTTTCATTACTACTGCAGGGTGCTACTGGGAGGCAGTGAAACTTTAGGAGGTGGGAAGGCAGTTACACTGTAAGAAATACTGAGAGCACTCCTCTCCTCCTAGCGGTGCTCCTATCCTACACTTTCCCTGCTTCCACTTCCCTCTCCGTCCTTTCCCTCACTGTCCCTCTTCCTGTCCCTTTCCTTCTCCTTCTTGAACACCATGAGGTGAGTACCCTGCCTTCATTGTGCTCTGGCTGCTGTGATGTCTTGCCTTGCAACAGGCCTGAAAGCACTGTAGCCATCCACGCATACACTCAAACTTATGAAAACATGCATCCACCTCATAATTTGATGTATCCCAGGCATCGTGTCACAGCAATGGAAAGCTGACTAAAACACTGCCCTGTAAGGTCACTAATCAAAAATCATATCCCAAATATAACACATATTAATGTTATCATGTGGGGGTAAGTGCTCACATAAATTTTGGAGGAACATCAGCATTCCAAACACAACATTCTGTTCCTGAGACAGAAAATTCACAGCTATCTCACATACAAAATAAATACACTCCATCCCTATGGCACTCAAATTCTTCATTTATTCAAGAGCCAACGCAAACATCTAAATTGAAGATTTGTACGAAAATAACAGAGGAATGGGAATCCTATGTGTGGTTCATCTTGAGGCAAACTGGCTTCCAGCTGTGAGCATACAGATCATACAACTTTCGTGGTTGCAATATAACAATGGTGAGGCAGGTACAAAAAACACATTCCTTTTCAACAGCAAGAAGCAGGAAAGGTAAATGGGATAACATGGTCAGGGCTGCAGTGGTGAGATAATCTGAACCAACTCCAGAACATTCTTTCCAGTAAATGAATCAAAGAACTGAGACACTAGTGCTTGGAGCATGTGTCGGCTAAATTCCTCACACAGATGCCTGCTCACGATTCTCACAACATCCACAGTACAACATACAAATCTTATTGCGCCAATGAGGCTAAAAGATGATAAAGAGAAGACTCATGAAACACTGAGAAAAACACACCAGCGATTTTAATGAAACATGCTTCTCACTTCTATCTGAAAAGCAGAGAAATGGACACAATGCATGAAAGGGAGAAGGTGTGAAGGTGCACTGGCCTGTGTATTATTTTATAGTCTGTCTTTGTCTCCAGGACTCCTTTCAAATACACCCCTCCCTCTGGTGTGAAGATGTCACTCTCTACCAAAACTTGGTCCAGGCCGCTCATCTTTCCCCTTCCCATACACAGTCTGATTCTAACCACCTTTATATGTTGTTTCTGCAGCAGAACACACGTCCTAGAATTGTCCTCCCCAAATCCCTGCAAACCTCTAGTTCCTCTGCATGATCCAGGAACCTTCAGCTAGCTACCAACCTCTGATGTAAGTGTATCCAAACAGGACTAAAGTCAGGTTGAAAGTTGAGGGGAATATTTTAGGATCTAGCATTTATGCAAGAATACTAAAATGATTTTTTTAAAAAGTTCTGTAAGAGTGACATTCGTACTCTACAGGAACACAGATAATGAACAGAGTAACCCTGAGCGTGTGCCCCTAATTACCCTTTCTGAGAGCACTGACTGCAAAGGGCTTACTAATATGAATGGTGTCCCTTTAAGATCCATGCATCTGCTAAGCTTGAGGAGGGCTTGTATGAAGGTCATGCAAGTCACTCTACTGAAAGGAAATCACCAAAACGTGCAGGACAATTTTTCTCCCAGTCTCTATGAGAAGATGGAATCCTAACTTCCCTAAATGCCACTTAGTAGATAAGGCCATTGGATTGCGACAGCAATCAGCTTTGGGCTGTTCTCACTTTTCTCACCGAACACGGCCATCACAAAGCACCTCCCTACTCCTTCATTTTTCCCTTTATTGATTTTAAATTTCAATATTTTCCCCGTGCTGCAGATGGAACCCAGAACCCTCATGTGTACTATGTGATTGCTGTATTACTTAGCTACTCCCTCAGTCTGTTTCTCCTTCCAAATGCCTAATCTCTGTACAATCAAAATTGAGGTCAGATACTAGAGAACCCTCTTCCCTAGTGCAGAAGGATATCTCAGGATGTATGATCCAAGATGCACACAAAAGCTCCATTCCTGAAACCATGCTAGAGTCTAGATGTTTCCGTGACATGTCATACTTGCCATTCTCCATGTGTACTAATTTCACACATCCTGCTTTATTCTCAGGCCCTAGGAGGGCAGGATTATGCAAGGAGGGTTACAGGGAAATCACCCAGCTCTGGGAAGAAACGAAATTGTATTGGGAAGGTGTCTGGGAAGAAGAAATCTAGTCATTTCCCTTGTATATGTAGCCCAAGCTTTGCCAGCAGGGAGGACGGACAGATTGATGTTTAGGAACACAGCAAACTCCTACAGTTGCTGCAGGGCTTGCAGCCATAACTAGGGGCCTAAGCTCAAGAAAATAGAAGCTCCCTAGAAATGAAGACTGGCCAGCAATTAACTTTCAGTGAACAGTAAGGCACTGAATCAGCAATACACTTTCTGCAGAATCAGACCTACACCAAACAAAATATTATATGACCAAGGAGGAATGAATAATGTCATGATGCGGGCAGAGGGGCTGGATGTCATGGTAACACAGCTAGCAGATTATCACGTACTGATCAGTCTGCCAAATCTCCCAGCATGGTACACGATGATGCAAGGAGAGAGTGGGATAAAGGATGATAAATAAACAGACATTCCATTAGGGAAGAGTGGGTGTGAATAGAATCATGAGTATTTCCTTTTCATGTCCCCCTTCAGCAAAGAAGAGAGGTGTAGGGACCTGTACAGCAAATTCGGAAAGACAGGATCCGCATCCTACAGCAGATACAGATTCGGAGACCTCCATATACACGCACATGAATACGTCTTTCATCTCAGACATTGTGCTAAGAAAATATTTATATTGTGTGCCTATGTGTTTGAAATTTGTATGTACTATCGAAATACAGAATGTATAAATTCTCATCTCATGCATATTTTGCTCTTCAAGTAACCATTTGATCCGGGGATTTAGCTCAGTGGTTCTGCCACCTGCCTCGCAAGCGCAAGGTCCTGAGTTCAATCACAGGCACCAAAAAATAAAAAACAAATAAAAAGAAATAACCATTTGAAATTCAAAAATTCAAATCAATCCCCTATTCCTCGATCCTCAATTCCATCATCTTCATTCATGAAATGATGCTATTACCCAGCTGCTAACAGGGTGTGAGAGTTAAGTGAACACACATCTGCCGTATGCTAAGAACAATACTGGGCACAGAGTGAACTCCCTAAGTGTCATTCTATAGGAAGGCACAGCCTTTTTCTCGTGCATTTTACCTACAATGCATCTTCCCCATAAGATAGGCACTTGGCATGTGAAGTAAGAGAGATTGCAGGAGATGGGCAGGGCATTATTAGTGCAATGACACATAGTCAGTTATAAGGACAGTAATGGATACCTTGGCTGGAATAGAGGTCTCCATGTTTGAAGATTCATCGCTTGATGGTCATTCAGGGTGGCTTTGGGGTAGTGTAACAGTTCTTCTGGCAGTCTTTTCCAGATTTCCTGTATTCAGAAACATCAGAGTAACTTTACTGGAATGGGACTCTGGTTCCAAGCCTGCACATCAAATGAAATGGGTCTGGAGTACATGGGATGAGAGAGCAGCATTGCCCAATTCTGTATTTTTCTTTGCATGACCCCTAAGAGCATTTGAAATGCATGCAGGAGTCAAAGTCTTATTTTTCCTTGACTTTAGCTTAACCCAAAAAGGCTAGTGGCTAACGTGTGGCACGGTACTGTACTTGAGGATATACGTATGGGATCGAACATTGTCTGCATTGCAAACCTGGATGCCCAGTTTGACGTGCATGAAATCTCTCAGGGAAATGAGTCCACAGATTTTAGAGGATTCTCAAAATTTAACATTAGTATGGCATCTTGTCACCACTACTGTGACTTCCTTCTCCTGCCTACCTGTCTCTGCTGTAGGTAGCTCTCTCCCATGGTTTTGAGAGAAACAAACTGAAATATAAGATGTTAAGCGCAGATCAGGTGGTAAACTGCTGGAAAGTGCCATGGCAGCGCCCTGCACTATGCGTTCCAGGGCTCCGTACTGTGCAGTCAGGATCCCATGCTGCTCAGTGCTGACACTGACTGTGAGGCATCCAGCCAGCACTTCAGGCAGCTCCAGTACACAGAAGCAGCCAGGCCTGGGAAAGCCTTTAGCAGATTCTGTAGCTTTGCTCTCAGTGGCTGGAACAAAAGATGCATTCTATGGTACAAGTCCTAGAGCTGCTCTTGTTAGAGACATTCCTTGTTAGGCTGCCAAAAGGGACAGATGCAGGGGAGCCCATAGGGCCCAGAGAGGGAAGACTTTTTGCCATCGTAGAAGACTTACAGAAAGAAAGCGGACAATTAGGGCGCCACATGAGAAAATGGGATGGGATCTTGCTATTAAAGACAATGGGCAGGGGGACAACTAGTCTAGAGCAGGTATTTTCTGTTTCATTATGTAAGCACAAGACTCCTCCACAGTTCTTTGCATTTTTCACTTGTGCTGCAATCAGTAGAGTATATAAGTCAGTGGTTCTCAACTGTATCTGACTGTATTCACATTCTGTAAGACACATTTCATAATCTCTAATTGATAACTATTACAGGAAATTCAAACGTAACATAAAATACCTATGTACATAACAAAAATCTGCAGTAACGTGCATACTGGTCTAAGGCCATTCGTGACAAGTCCTTTGAACGGCTCCCAAAAGTTCATAACTTTTTGTTTTGTTTTGTTTTTTCAGTACCAGGGACAAAACTCGGGGCCTTGCACTTGCGAGGCAGGTGGCGGAACCACTGAGCTACATCCCTGGCCATAGTGTTTTTAACCTCGTTAAATACTGACTAAAAAAAAAAAACAACACAAAGAGAAAGGAAAGAAACTAACAAAAATGAGGCCACATAATCTAAAATATGTATTTTAGGGCCCATTTTAGACAAGTTCGCAACATCTGCATCCACTAGACTCTAGCAGAGATAAAGGCAAAGGAACAAACCAGAGTTCATTGTTGAGTTTTAAATTCACCATACACCTGTGTGGACTTCCAGCACCAGAAGACATCATGCCATCACTAGACGCCTGCATCTCTGCTTAGAATCCCTCAGTGTGAAAGTGCTTAAGACACTGATGACGGGAAGAAGCACTGTCACACCACCACGAGCTGTATGTAGCTAATGAGCAGGTGAAGAGAGGATCCCAGGGCCAGGGGATCTGCATTGGACTCCAACTGAAGTAACTGTCTTCATTTCACTCTAAGCTTCACTAACTGACCCCACGTGGCTAGAGGCTATCACGTAAGACAAAACATCTATTGAGGAAAATTAAAACAGAATGAGGTCCACTTCTGCTCCTATCATTTTGGCAGCTAGAGGTATTCTGAGACCAAAAGGAGAGAGAAATGTGCTTACAGCCCTATTTTGAAACTACTTTTCCAGGAAAGAAATAATGTCAAAGTATTCCTATAAATTTCCTTGAAGTAGCACAGACTGTTCTAGGGGAGGGGGAGGAGGAACATATGTGTGGATGGATTCACCTGATTCGCATATACTCACCAGTCATCACTTTCACTTACTCAAGTATAAGGACACTTTATGTTCACGTGTTCCTCTAGCAAAATGGGAATGCTGAAATCATATACAGTCAAGCCCATTAAAGAACCTCTACTAACGGAAGCAACTCCCCAGATCCCCCAGTGATTTCCAGTTGCAAATTCCTTCTTCTGGTGGAAAACGCACCACCTGCTCACTCCCTCCCTCATGCCTGCTGATTCGCAGGTGGAAATCCAGGTGAGACCTACCACCCTCTCCTCCGAATCCCAACAGTGCACTGTGCTCTTCTATGCTGGGGTGAGCATGCATGGGGGATGGCACTAGCTCCCAGGCTATTGAACAACTCATTCCTTAACAGGAGAGACCAAAAGTTCCAAGGAAAATTCCAGTGGCTATGGGGCATGAGGAGAAGGGAGTGTTTTGAGTTCTCTGTGCTGAGGAATCCTCAGGCAGGAAGTGAGACACTGCATCTTGGGCCCTTCTAGACTAAATGGTACAAACACACTGACGGACACCTGCATCCCGTACCTCCATGACATCCTCGTGGCACACCGATCTCCAACTACTTAGCTGACACTGTTACAGGCAGGACTGTCTCCTACAGTCTTCTCTTTCCGGTGGGAGAAGACTTTAATATTTACAAAATGGAAGTTTCCTTACAAGAAAAAAATTATTTTAAATTTCCTAGGATCTGGGGCTCCTACACCTACCTACGCAAACTGCTCATTAACAAAATGTTTAAATCATTCTTAGCTGTACAAAGGATGGATATCAATAGGTATTAATTAAAAACATGGCGACAGAAAACAATTAGTATTTTAAAAAACAGATGATGCCAAAAATTACTTAACACTACATCACCTCCTTTAGTTTGGTCTCTCTACAAGGACAGATAGTGTGTTATAATACAAATATATCTAACAGGCAAGGGCCCAAGATTTCATTCTGGTGCCATGAGGAAATAACTCTAAGACCATTGCCTATACTTCCGGTCTCCTGCCCTCCGAACCAGTACTGTGCTGAGCCTCACTGGTCACTGCACCTCTGCCATCTTTACACTGATCATCAGGAGATTCCTGAGTGGCCAAGCCACTTACAAAGATGTACTGGAGCCTTCCTGATATGGCCCAAAGACACAATTCCTATGTAGAGATACAAGATCACCTGCTACCTTGCTTCATTTGAGAAGGGTACAACTTTAATTCTTGTGTGAGACTCCCAACCCCTGCCTAAAACCCCTTCATGATGATAGCACAAATTACAAAACTTGGAGTTCTAACCGAGTTCATGGTTTGAGGCCAGTGGAAGAGTCACATCATCGAGTATGCTCTTATTCAGTGTTAGTATTCCAAAAGGTATGTGCAAGTGTCTCCAACAAGTTTTATTCACAGAACACAAGTATTTTACAAAACCCAAGGCCTAAAGATCAAATACATTTATTAGACAACGAAATGACATTTGTTCAAGACAAGTCAATAGTTGGTTGGCAAAAGACAATCTTTGCAAAACAAAAAGCATCATGAAATAAAAAACCCAGGATTTGCAGAGGATGAAAAGAAATTCAATTATGCCATTTCTATTCACTTTTCCAGTGTCGCAGAACAAAACCTGGTTCAACATGAATGTTGTGAAAGGATGAAACCAGGTATATGGGGACAGTGGATGGGGTCATAGAACACACAGAAAGACCCAGAAACGTCTGAGTGAAGAGCTGCCAGCAGAAGGCTCCCCTAGCCTAAGGATGCTGCTTTCACCCATGGGACCCAAGTATACACCGGCCTCTGACGTGACTGCCTGTGTGCAATCAACAGATCTTTTGGGAAATTCCAAGGCAGATAGATAGGGGAAAAGTTTACAAAGCAAAAGTATAGCAGCAGAGCAAACTTGACGCACAAATAATGACACGTTTAATTGTGGTGCATTCTGCAAAACAGCATGCTGGGAGATCAGGGAAACCATTCGTAGAGGACAAGATTCTGAAAGTTTATGCGGCTGAGAATGAAGAGGAAGACCTGAGCTGTTTGCATAAACCCATATGGGGAGGAAATTCTAGGGAAAATGTGAAAAAAAGCCCTTATTCAGACATTTTAATGATACGGGTGTGAAGTATAGAACAGAATATGCTGCAAGGTTTTGGAGCCAATATCAAGAAGGTTCTCCCTTTAAAGACATGACTGAAAGATATACTGAGGCTTCTTGTAAAAACAGGTGTCAAAAAACTGATCCTGTTCAGGCAACACAAGACAAAATGCAGGAACTAAACTACATTCTAAGCACTTCCTCATATTTTTCCATAGTGAAATACGAAATGCTAAGGAATAAGTGGAAAAACCACCAAATATACTTCCACAAAAAAAGGCTGACAGGGAAAACATTGGGCCACTTCTCCCTCAAGCTGGAATTCTATTTCCCCAACAGAGCCTCAGTGGCTGTGTATGGCACAGGAGGCCTCAATCCCTCACTGCTGAATCCACCAGGCCCTGTGCTTGAAAGTGCAGCAAGGTGTCCCACAGGCAATTCAGTCAGCCCCCGAAAGATCCCAAAGAAAGCACAGTTTAACACAGGTAGGCCACAAAGACGTCCAGCTCAGATATGTGGAAAGTGACTTCTATGTCTTGTGTTTCTGTGCCCTTCAAGCACGGAAACAAGAAGGCTGGGGCGGCCAGCCCGAGTTCCTGAAACAGGAGGTGGGTGGACACCTAGGCTCTCCTGAAGAGGCTCACGAGGATGAAATCTCCTTCAGTCCATCTTTGGTCACTATAAAACTATGATAGATTTTTTTCCCATCATTATGCAACAGACACAAAGCAGAAGCCTGTGGGAAGGTGTTAGATGCAAGCTTGGACAATACTCCAACTGCATCCCCTTCCCCGAATTAGCAGAGCTCCGCACTGCTGACACAACATTGTTCTGTTTCCCAGAAACCATTCTGCTCTAAACATTGGTCTCTGAGCACAGAACCCTGACAGCAGGACACCCTGAATGTTTCCCCCATCCCAGCTATCCGAAGACCTCAAACATGCCCCTGTATGCTTCCAAAATGATTTTTCCCAGGAATTTCAGGCACTTCAGCAGGATGTCTGAGAAAGTACTAGAAGGACCTATCATTGGCAGCTCACCTTCCTAAGTATCTCCTGGTCAACACAGTCACCAATAAAAATCTGGATGCTAAGCGTTCACCTCAATCAAAAGCAGGTGCTCCAAAAAATATACCTGGCTTCTCACAAAACCTCCTTTTACTGAACTCTGTAAGACAGACACAACTCACCTCTCCCTGATGCATTTTTCACAACTCAACACATACACAAAATGAATTTACACAGTGAAAAGCTCTCCCCAACAGCCCTTTTCCCAACCCCCATTCACACAGAAAAGAGAACATAAGGACCTTCTCCCATAAAAACACAAAAAACAACTCTGAACTCCACAGGCCATATCTCTCGTTTAACATTGACAATGGGCACTAATGTAATGCAGCTATGAGAAAGGGGCAGGAGACACTGCCTTGAACAAAAAATGTCTGTCACAAGTTTAACACCAACGTCCCTTGTCCTCAGTGAGCAAGAGCATCTCTCCAGAGTGCATTTACTACGCCCAGACCATTCGTCCCCTACACTGGGATACCCTGAACAAGGGGCCAGATCCAATGGGCATTCCATGTTTCCTCATCAGAGGAGACCTCTTCGCTTCTGAGCCTCTAAAGTCTATTGTCTCAGTAAATAACACAGAATGTCTGAGCAGCCATACATGAAACCCACTTATACAACATGCGTCGACCTACCAGTTTATCCCATTATTTCTACTGCTACTCATTACAGGTGGGATCCCTGCATCACCATCCTTAGGAAATGGGAGAGAAATTACTGATTCAGGAAATTCTACCCTGTAAAATGCAAAAACATACCTGAAAAGACTTCTTGGACTGGGGATGTACACTAGTGATAGACAGATTGCATCGCATGGGCAAAGCCTGTGGTCTGATACCAGGACCACTAAAAAGGCTTTAATTGCCCAGTGATTAAAACCACAGGATGTGGAGCTACATAAACCTAGACCGAGTCCCCGCACTATGACATTTTGGATCAATCACCATGGCAGGCAGCAATATGTTCCACAAATCTTTAATTGAATCTTTATGACCCATTTTTTTCATCTTATAAGTAAGAGGCACGAGAAAAAATATTTTGAGACAAACACGGATTTGTCCTAGAACATGTCACACCCAGAATTAGCAGTACTCCACTGTTCCCACTAGTGAGAGGGCCTTCTCCCCCACATACCTGAGGAAACAAAAGGGCCAAGGCTAGGCTAGGCACACACTTCCTGGGAAGTTCCATGAGCAAAGAGCCACTCTGAATTCAGAAGAGTCGCATCTTCTCTTTCATGGACATACTGACTCCTGAAAGTGAAACCAGATGGAGAAGACACCCTGTAAGATGCTCTGCCTTAAGACTCCTTCCCGAAGGCCAATGCTCGGCAGAATTGCCCAGGAGACCATGCAGTTCAGGCTTCCCCGCAGCACCTCAACCCACCACGACACAGTGAATCAGAGGACTGTGCCACCCAGAGGCAGAGGAATCCAGGGCGTGCTTAGCAAAGAGGGGGAGGAGGCCCAGCTCCACTTCAGTGTCACAACTGTTTCTGAATAGCAAAGAAATTACGCTTGATCGCCACTACATTGACTGCTTCGGAAACATGAGTGTGGGAACACATTTGTCCAGGTTTCTACGGCCTTAAATTGTCACTGTGTGGGAAATAACACAGACCCTCATGATGTAAATATTGCAAGTAATTTAACACATTCCCAGCAAAAACAAGAAAAGAAAGAAAATAATTGTCAGCAATCTTGGTCGAAGCTACACACTTCAGTTCCTCTAAAAAAGACGGAAAGATCTGAGACCCAAGGAACTTCAAGGCTGCTCATGTAACGTTGAATGAAAGTAGAAACATTAAAAATCTGAGGAAAAGAAGGTGTCCACAGAGTCCAAAACCAAAGTCTCTTTGAGAATATCTTAACGTCTCGTGTATATGTTTCTCCTTTTCAAATATTCAGATATCAGCACCTCAATTTCTATGCATTACACAACCCTGAATTGAATTGAATTCACACAAGCAAAGAATGAGCAGAAACTTCTCTGGCACTGCCAGGTAACAGGTCTTCTCCAAACCTGGCAGTTTACCTATGGTGGCAAGTCCGGACGGCTGTGGGGTGCTGAGTCCTGTCAGTCTGCCCGTGAAGAGTCCAAGCTCGGCCATAAAGGATGAGTCTCAGAAGAGGAACAACCCTAGGGATACAGGCTTCTTCTTCCTTAACAGAAGGATTTGTGTGGTGGCTTCCAAGTTGTCCAGGTAACCAGCGAGGAGTCTTCTTGCCCCAGAAAAGGAAATATGTATGTAATTGATATTATGACACAGCCCACGGAGCTCCACAGCTGTGGGCCTTCACTGGTAAGAGAAGGAGTTAAACCAATCACCCAAAGCTATTTCCAATATGTGGAATTCAGGAACTGAGACACTAGAGCCTCGAGTACCTGCTGTGTCGTAGACACATCTGAAAGAAGACTTTACGTGATGCTCACAACACTTACAATGCAAATTATTATTCCCATTGTGGCAATGAGGGAATTGAGACTAAAACATGAAACAGAATAACGATGGGAAACTGAGACTCATATACTACATACTAATTTTTTTTCTTCTTCTTCTTTTTGGTACAGGGGATAGAACTCGGGCCCTTGCACTTGCAAGGCAAGCCACCGAACCACTGAGCTAAATCCCCAGCCCAACTAAATTTTTTTTTTTTTCAAAACACGGAATTGGCCACAATGAATGGAAGGACGAAGACTTGAAGGGGTACTGCCCCGTGTATTGTGTCATAGGCGGCCTTTGTCACTGAGACTCCTGTCAAATAGTTGCCCTCCCTCCGGGACACAGACAGCATTCTCCACGACCACTTGGTCCGTGGTTGCCAGTTGTTCCTATTACATAGATCCCAATTACCTTCATCTATTGCTGACAGTAGCATTTCTAGCATCCCCACCGTCCTTGGGTTCATTTGCATGGTCCAGCGCAGTCTCACTTCCTGGTGCCTGGTAGTGAAAAAATTTCCAGATACTATGTAAGAATAAACCCTCGGTGGTAAATTGTTAAACCTAAGTTTCTACAATCAAAGAATTCTAACACAATCAGTTTGATTGTTAAAACAGTGACAATCACATTGCACAGGGGAAGATGGTGATGGAAAGAAGTCACTATCTAGCAGGATCTCTACTATTGGGTTCCATGCAGTGCCCATGCACTAAACTTAGCATTGTTCATTGTGCCTAACTTAAGAGATTCTGTAAAGGGCTCTCCACACCATTCTAAACGATGACATAGGTGACAGGAGATGCTTGCTGACCTCTGCCCAGAAAGAACACTGTAATAATAGTAACAATAAACAGGTAATAAAAGTAACTTGTGACATCTTTTGAAAGATATTTTCCTAGATCCAGGACTGCCTGAAAGAACAACATGCAGGAGGCTAGTTAACATCTCAGTTTGTCAAATTTGCATTCCCGCTCAAAGAGAATACACAAATAAAGCAAAATCCTAATACAGGCAATCCATTTTCTGACTTCCAAATGTAATTCAGTTGGCTAATGTCTAGAGAACACTGATGTTCACCAACATAGGAAATTTTGAATCAAGACTACAGTTAATACAGATATATAGATATAGACATAGATCTATGAATACAAAGAGGCAAATATTGCCCATTTCTTTTCCCTATATGCTAATATTCAGACATGATACAATCAGCCAGGTGGCCACAGGAGCGGGAACAGTATGTGCTAGAATAGGAGAAAAGCAGCCTCTTCCACCCAATTCTTGCCGTGACCTGCCTGAACCTAGACCTCTCTTCTTTATCTTCTTTACGTACAGAAATCACACAAGTCATTTTTAAAAGATGCAACCCCTGGAAATAGGGGCCAAACAAAGACTTGGAGGAAAACAATACATTAAATACACAATTATAGCTCAAAACTAAACTGTGGCCTGGGGCTGTACATCAGTGTTAAAGCACACGAATAGCATACATCAAATCTTGAACTCGATTCTGAGCACCAAGAGCATAAAATAATTAAAAATTAAAGTGTGACGTATGATTTGAAGGAGTCAACGCCTCAAAAATGGAAAAGACTCCATCTGTGAATGTATTACTTTTGAAATTATACTTTCTCCGTGATTTTCAAAGGAAACTTATAGAAAGCAGTAATGAAACGATTTCATTCAATAACCGCTAAGTCAGTGTGCAGTTCATTTCTGAAATGAGATTCTAAATCATGCTCAGTGGGACAAGTGACCGATATTTCCAGACATGCACTACGAAAAAGCAACAAACATGGGGTCAATATACAGCTTTACATGAAGAATACCCCAAAACATTCTTCAGTTTAGGCAGAATTATGGAATAACGTATACATCTCTGATACTATTCATAAATATAATGTATTAAAACAATTCCATGGTAAGCTGAAATGACAGCTTAGGCTAGCTAGAAATTTGAGAGCAGTAACTATGATTTACTTGTATGACACATAATTATACTGGAAAATGATACAAAAAATAAGACCACTGGGAACTTAACGGTATTGAAGGAACGAGTTCTTGCCAAGCACCCACCTGTTTACCAATACATAAAGAGTTAATAACACTGTACTTTTTCAGGACAACACTTGGTGCAATACATTAAATATTTACATTTCACGGAAGTGCACAACAACAGAGTTCAATGACAAGGGCCAGGGGATTCCTGGTGGTTAGTGAAAAGAGGAATGTCAACTTCCTTAGTTCTACACTGACATTATTGGGAAACTTTTCTGGCTTAAGCTGACATATCAAGACGACCAGGTATAAACCTTACACAACTTATACAGAAATGAAGTGCAAACTTTAAACAAATTATACTAATCATACTATGCTGTTGCTACAGGTAATGGAAACCTGTTTCCAAAGGCTGGTAAACAGCCAGGATCAGTCATAGTCCCGCAACTGATCCCTCACATGTTACTGTGCTCCTTTTCAGGGCAAAATAACACACATGTGTTCTGCGAAATCCCAAGATAATGGCCAAGATCAAAATTTAAACAAATTAATGACAACAATATGTACCCAAGAACACTGTTAAAGAAAACAAAATATGGACGTTCTGTAGTGGTCAAAGGCCACTTCCTGCCATAAAACCTACTCAAGCAACCGCATCAGCTGTTTCCTCATTTTCCTCTCAACACAACACAAACCCCAAATATTATCAAGCAGGGGACCTAAGACCAATACGGAAACTGACAAAATGATCTGAAAGGCTCAGCATGTTGCCACATAAAGTAAACACTGAAGCCAACACAGCTAAGGACCTTCCCGGTCATAAGGCTGGAAGCCCGCGGGACACATCTCTTAGTAGCCCTTCTCCTAGGAAAACAGACCACCCTAGATAGCCAGTACGATCAAAATCACAACACAACACACCAACTGCAATTCAAAATCAAGCAAACTTAAACTGAATTGGTTGCTTGAGCGGGTCCAGCAAATTCCTACATCCCGGGCCACCGAGACCTCTGTGTAGTCCTGGGCTCACACAAGCTCAGCGTGAAGCATCCGCTGTCTCTTCAATTTTAAGTTCAAAGCACAACCACACGATCACGAACAGGGCACTAAAATACTAACATTTACACAAACAAAATGATCGGAAAGACTCCTCACGCCGTTACGTAAAGTAGAACCGTCTGCCCAACTTGAAAAATCGCAACACAAACCACCAATTAAGAAGCAAACTTTACACGCACTTGGAGATCCCCACCGGAGCGGCCGCCATGTTCCCACATCCTGGAAGGCAATGAGGTACGGAAGCCCAGATGCACAATCACCAGTTTAACCGTTCTGGACACAGAACAGAGCCCCGCTGAGCCAGGAAGTTAGCTCAGTGGCCCCGCGCCTGCGCAAGGTCCTGAATTTGATCCCAGGTACAAAATGAAACAAAACAACGACTACCAAAAAAAATAATAATAATAATAACAAAGCCTCTCGGATTCTTAGCCACAACATAAAATAATAATAATAAT